ATATCGATCAATTTTGCATTACCTTCTTCCGTTTCGGCTTCGTTTTCGCAGCTTTCTTCACTTCACATCGTGCACTCGACCGTCTCCCTTTACAACTACCGTCAATATCCGATTCACAATCCTCATCACCGTACAAATGCAAGTGTTTTGAAAACAGATTACTCAACGAAAGCTTTTTACGAACCACACTTGACACCTTCAATACAGTGAGTGCACATCATTACAATATAGCATAAATGCACGAACTGATAATACAAATCTGTCTAGCATTTTTGCACAATGTTGTTCGTCGACGAACAAATTCCCCGGATGAAATGATTTCAACTGAATCAGTGATCTCCTTCTATACAAGTCTCACGATATTGTTGAATAAACAAGAAATTCGCTGAACATTGATCACCTTAATTGAATACCTCATCCGTTTCACTCGTTTCTAAGGGCAATCTCGCAAATAAGCATATTAGGATTAGTGTCCTGCATATAAACACATGGAACTATAGGCTCACGGCATATTCATTTATAGACATACTGGCGTGGAACTGCATTAAACGTTTATAAATTGGGAATTTTTGCATGAAATATGTGAATGAATTGAACGGAACCTTATGAATTGCTCGTTCGCGACCATCTCTTGGAACATTGATGAGTTCGTTGGAATTCAATTCAGCAGTGACACTCAACTTACTCGTATTACTTGAATAACCATCACTTGAAACACTACTGCTACCTTGTGGTGATGGTATCATTGAGTGGTCGACATTACTCAATGAATTTACCATTAGATCATTGCCTAGCGAGTCATCGTTTCCATTAGAGCATTGCACCTCACAACTCAACCTAGAACACTTAGTTTCATCTACAACGCTTCTCATTTGCACTTTTGTTGATAAGTTTCGGAATTCTGAATGATTTTTCATCAAATTTCGATGCGCAAAACAAGTTCAGCTTATCGTTAATAAGCTGAATGTTCTCATCGATTTTTTCTAAATGAATGAAATCTTTTCTCATAGATTCAGTTGGCTCATTACTGGGAAGTGAGCCACAACATTTTCATCATAGCGTATAGGAAGATGAACGGATTCATAGTGATTTCTTGCAAAAGCATCACTTGTTGATGATAATGATAATGCAAATGAGCGAAACTGAGATCAAAAAATTAGATCGATATTCAGTTAGATAGATGTTTAGATACATTTCAAAATTGGGATTTAAGCTCAGTATATGCAAATTCCAGTCGTCGTTCGGAATCGTTGAATTGTTATTGATGACGTTGCTACTATTGATGGTGGTGTTAACGCCATAAGCACATTCGCTGTTGTTCATTTCAGCAACTAAGCGCTTCGAATGACGTTTCTGTGAGTGATCCGTAAGCCGTCGGGACACAATCTTTTGCAACGCATCCATAATTTATTTTTCACACCAACAAATGAGAGGGATAGTCAAAGATCGCGAGAGCTTCGCTATGAATATTGTTTCTGAGTATCGTTGATTGATTGATTGATTGACTCTGCAACTGACAGTACCAAAAAACTGGAAGGACTGGAATTTTCCTGAAACTGCAATATGAAGTTGCATCATAATCAATCCGGTGAGCAGTCTCAATTCTACATGTGAAATTTATTGCGACGATCGACTTCCTGGAACAACAATCGGCGAAAAACGAGTGCTGCTATTAAAAATAACTGAATATAGATACATT